CTAATCTCGGATGGTCTTAGGGTGAGCACATTTTCAGCAAATATTTATTTTTGGGTGAGCTATTCCTTTAAAATAACCCTTTTTTGTAATGTAAAGACTATTTTAGTAATCTAAAGAACCAATATAAAGAACTGTTTGTGCAATGAAAAGGTTTCATGGATGTTAAAGGCTCTTCAATGCCAATAAAGAACTGTTATTTTTAAGAGTGTGGCCGCAGGGGGAAGAGCAAGTGAAGGCTTCTTAACAATGCAAGACAATGCAAAAATTAAATGTTTTCAGGATAAATAACCAGCAGACAAATATCGCAGACGATTATGCTTAATTAATGAAGAGACGCAGAAATTGTGATCGCGATTAAAATGATATTTATCATGCGGCCCTAGTCCAATAGCTGTTTAGTCATTGTTTAGTCTGGTAACGCTGCAGCCAGTGTTAATGTATGAAAGGTTATGGCAATAATAGTGACTAGCGGTAGATTTTGAAGTGTATTCTGAGACGCTCTGTGGGGAACTTGTTGATGTGAATGTTGTCTCGTGTTGACGTGTAGTTTGTGTGCTGATGAACACATTATTTGTCAGGTGAGCGCCGGTTTCAGCTGGAAACGTCTGCGTGTTCATGCTAAACTATTCACCCAGGGCAGTAATTTAATTCAAACTGAATGAAAGTGTTTAACGATAGCGAGTCCCTGCCTGAGAGTCACAACAGAATCTTGTTTTCTCTTTATAATAGAATGGCTTCAGGTGAATAACGGGTGACACTTTGTTTTTTCCTTCTCCGTGTGGCTTCATATTCTTTGTTGTTGGTAAGTTTGAGAACTTGCATGTCTTGAGAAATGTTTGCTTCTCTTTGTCTCCTCATTCAGGCTGTGATGTCGACGCGTGCTTATCTAATTATCAAACGATATTAAGCTGTTTGTGTCATCAGCAGTATTCATTGTGACTGGATTCTCTACTGTTAATCGTGTGGTTTGTAATGGGCTTTAATGACAGTGTTCAAAATATTTATTTTTAGTATTTAATTCATGGATGAATGGATGAATCTCATCAAAACATATTCGGGGCATATTTCACCTTCATATTCATTGATTATGACATTTATTTTCATCCCTCTTATTGTATTACAGTAAAGCCTGTTACTGTAATATTGTTTTTTTTAATCAATGAAAAAATATTACAACAAATACCACCATGATCTTTGGATAATTCACAATTTTAATAATATTATAATAATATATAATAATTAGGTATGTGTGTATATATATAGAGAGAGGTTTTATTTATTTATTTATTTATTTGTTTGTTTATTTGTTTGTTTGTTTGTTTGGTGTGGTGAAATTATGCCCCAGATATGCTCTTGAACTCTTGCCAGGTTTCATGAGACATCTTTATTGTATGACCTGCTTACTTCTGTTCATATAATCAAAGCTGTCAGTTGAGACACAACTTCCTAATGAATAAAATGAGCATCATAGTAACATCTGAATAGAAACATAACACTGCTTAATTTTTAAGCATAAATTCTGGCGTGCGTCTGGCTGTTTGGATGATTCGCTGACCTGCCTCTACAGACAGACTGCATGCGAAACATGGAGTAAGGAGAGAAAGTTGGCGTGCATGAACGGCGTGTCCTGTTTTGTGGTTTGGGGAGGATTTGTCCCCAGGAGAGAGAGTGATGGGAGGCTGTGCTAGATTAAGGTAGATTATATCTGCCCACAGTTTTATCAACAGAATCAGAGATGAGGACGTAATGCGATGACGCACGTTACAGCCGAAATCCTCGTGCCAGGATTTCATATTTCCAACGGCGACGTCCTCTACACCTGTGTGTGCAGATATACTGACACGAGTGAAAGTCAATTACTGCATGAACGTACCTTCACACTGACAGAGATTTGATTGGACTGGAGGTCAAATAGTTAATGTTATCAGCAGGCTGCACAATAATGGCCATAGTTTATTGAAAATCTGAACCACAAATGAGATGTCTTATTGGTTTAAAAAAAAAATCCTGCTCCTAATAATATGATATGATATGATATGATATGATATATGATATGATATATGATATGATATA